ATATCTGAGTAAAACTTTTATCGTTTCGTTCGAGAAAACACGATTACTTAACAGAAAGAGCGCTATCATTTGAAATAATGTCTTTCAACCGAATACAATATTATTTGGTTACGACAAATATATAAAATGAAAGAAATAATTTCTTCGTAAGAAAATTATCTTTCGTTTCAAACAAATTTTTTATTTAAAAATAAAATAGAAATACTCAAACTAAAGAAATCTTTCCCTCTGTGTATTTCTCGAGGTTTTTTTTTTTCTACACGTTTTTTCTACACGTCGAAAGCGTGTTTCTTCGAGCACGACTGCGGAGAAGCGACGTTAGCATTCTACGGGGTTAATCCTGTCGGACGAGAAGGAGGAAGGGAGAGTCACGAAGCGCGAAGAGAAACGTTCTCGAACGACACTCGACTTTCATGACGACGAGGGGTGCAAAGAACGAGAGAGAGAGAAGGGGAGGGAGGATTCGCTGAGGAGCTCTCGGCGGCGGCGGAGGAGGGGGAGGAGGTTGTACTACGAAGGAAGGAGAGAAACGTTCATTATTCTATTCCGGTGGAGCGAGGCCGGCAATCTGGTCTTATAAAATAAACCACTCTAGCTCGCGCGAGCGGCTCGGCGTTCGATGTGTCAAATAAATCGTAGGCCGGCTTCTTACGAGCTTACTTGCAATTCTCGCTCCTCCTACCTCGAGATCATCCGACCGTCCTCTCCCTCTCTCTCTCTCTCGTCATCGTACTCTCCCGAGACTATCCTCGAGTCTCGATCTCGCGCTCGTGCTTCGCGCGTCTCGCGTTCGTGAAATAAATCCTTCGCGCGCACTTCGCGTTCCTTCGCGTGAGAGAGGCGAGAGAGAGAAAGGACGCGAGAAGGGCCGAGAAGAGCACACAATATGCCACACTGTACACACGTAATCTGTATTACGCGCCGGCTCGATTCGAGAAGATTCGCGCCGAGAGAGAAAACGACGGATCCAGTCGTGGCCTCTCGGCTCTCGCAATGCATAAAGTCATGCTTACTCGACTGATGTTTCGCGGGAAAAGAGAGGGAGAGAGAGTGAGGGGGAGGTGGGAAAGAGGAGACGGGAATATTCCGATATTTGTACTGAAAATATTTCCTCAGGAAACTTCCCCTTCTCCTTTTTTTTCATCCCGAATATGCGAATTTATGCGACAACACGTCTATCGGGAGCTTGAGAGAGAGAAGCATCGAACGAGTCGGAATTTTAGCTATATTTTAAGTCTCGATTCTACAACACAATAGGAACCAAGATGGCAAATTACGTAGATAAAATAATTTCAATGTCGATTCTAATAATATAATCCGTTTCTAATGTGATTCTGATGACGTCTCCGAAGGAAGATCCGTTTCTAATGATGTGATTCTGATGATGTCTCTGAGGAAATTTCCGTTTCTGTTGTTTTAGCGTTAAAATAATTTAATCTAATTGACCCCAGGTGATCGTTTACGTAAAAAAGAAAAAAATAAAGTAACCATCCCCGGATTAAGAGCATGAAAGTAGCGTCAAAATTTCGAATCGTGTGCTCGAGCGACGACGTTTCCGCTGTTGTGGTTTATCGGCGAGATTTCGCGAAAAGGACACCGCGTGGGTGGGTATCTCATCGCCGGAAACGCGGGAAAGAAGCCTCACGAGCCACGCGATCATCGCGGACAATCGCGGGGGGGCGGTGGGAGGCAAAAAGAAACACACTCGGTGTAATTCATCTCTCGCGTGTATATTATCGTTTGCTCGCGCGCGGACGCTCGTGGCAACGGCGGCGGCGTTTTGCTCGATGTAAACACCGGAAGCGAACACTGTTACTCGCTTTATGATTCGCTCGAGACAATTTCGCGGCACTTCCACAGTCCATCCACAGTACGTCCGTGTGCTCCCGGGAGCGGTTTATAATTCACCGAAAGTCCAAAGCGCGCGCTCTAGGAGTCGCCAATTTATTTACATGCCGCTCTCGAAAGCGACCAAGAGAGAGGGTGGGAAGTGCATTTGAAAATTTTCGTGCCCTCCTCGTTCATATTCTTCACGGTCCTCACAAGTCCTCGTTTTCTCCGATGGCGCCAAGCTAGCGAGGGACACTTTAACGGGGATTAAGCACCCCAAAACATCATTATTTTACGAAGTGTTTGGCGTGTCGCAGCTAAAAATGCGCGGTAAATGATCACGCCGCGCCAACGATTTACTCCGAGCGATAATCTGATTCACTGTCGGAGGATTTCGAGGGAGAATAGCGTTTCTAAATCTCCCTCTCTCTCTCACTCCTTTCCTCCTTTTTTCTTTCTCGCTCACGTCCGTTCTTCTCTCTCTCGACCTGGAATTTGGATTAAAGAAGCACGACTGCAACTCGGCGGGACCCGACGAGACACGCGAGGGAAGAGATTAAGTAAAGACGGAGAATAAATTACCCCTCCTTTCTCCCGCCTCAGTGCGCTCAATAAGCCGCGTGCGGCAGTCTGGCCAGGGGTTAATCCGGGAATAGTCACCTTAATTTTTTTTCTTTGCGTAAACGATCGCCTTAGAGCCCAATTAAAAACCGCTATTATTAACAAAATATAGCATATTATCGATTGATCTATGATTTATTATTATTTAGGGACATTATAAATATAGATTTGCTCGCTATATTTTGAAAAAACGAGGGGAATAAAAAAAAATATTTAAGAATCGCAATAAACACATCAAATATTTTATTAGGGCAGTATTTTTGATAAATGAAGATATTAATTTAAAAACGCCGTTTTATCACCTTTTTTCGGTGGCATAAGATATTTGTAGGTTCGTAAAAAGTAATTATTAAAAAAGATTGAAAGTATATTGAATAATATTTATTTTATAAGAATGTTAAAATAAGGTTAAGTCGCGGCCATCCTTTCGATATCTGTAAAGATCCGTAAAGATCTCCATCTCGGCGCGAAGTTCCGTTTACATCAACGTCGAATCGACGAATCATCTTCCCTCACGAACACTCGGAACGCGACGAGGAAGAGATGGAGAGGAGACGGCTTGTCGGGCGGTATCGCGATTTGGATCTCTCCCTTCGCTCCGAATTAATTAGTCGATCAATTAACCGATTGCCGCGCCGCTTCTTCATCGCAATTTACGTGCTCGCGTGCGCGTTCTTCTGTTTCATCATTATCAAAGACGGCGAAACGCCAAAACAAGGAATAAGATAGAAAAGAGAAACAACGATTGCATTAATGCGTTTTCTCTCTCTCTCTCTCTCTCTCTCTCTCTCTTTTCCATTTTTTTGTTCCTCTCCGCACGGAAGAAAATTCAATTCAAAAATATCAATTAAAGACTCATATATTCTAATGGACGCAATCATTGTTTCATATATAAGCAAGAATATATGATCTATTTAGAAAAATTCCATACTCTTGAATACGGATCTCCTCGAAATAAGAATATTCCTTCTTTCCGTGCAAGGTCAAGTTTCGGAGTCGTTCAATTATTTAGTCAGCGACCCTTATCTCAAATGACTTCATTAGCATCGCGTTATTTTGTACGTGTGTCGGGTGTGATATTTGTGCGGAAATTTTCCATCCGGTCGATCCGACGCGCGTTGATCCGAGAGTGCGTGAGCGTGCGCGAGCCGACGCGATCGATCGCATCGGGAAATAAATGGCACGAATCCGCTTAATCGTCCAACGACGCAACAGCAATTAAAGTTGCATTCCCGATGTCTTCCCGGCTTACATGTGTGTATGTCTCGTCGTGTATACGCGAGAACGGCGTGTACACATCCGACAAAACCTATCGATATATCTCGCGCGCGTCATCGCTTCCCGGCTTGGCTACCTTTCGATGACGCGCGTGCATCTTCACGCATTTCCGCGATGCCGTCACGAACGGTGGCGCGTCCATAAAGCGGGATCTACGATGAAAGCTTTAAGCCGTAAAAAATCGACCAATCGTAGTCGAATTATAGAAGAATAATTCATTGTGATTGGTTAAACAAAATGGGAAATTATGCAAAGCTGTAGATTTGAAAAAATATACCTGTTTTCGAAAAAATTGTTCAATCGATGTAAAAATATATGCAACAATATAAATAAATATGTTATTAATACCCATCGAATAAATATACGTTTAATCTTTTAGATATATTTCCCCTCGGTGTACGTTCAAGTTTAAAGAATATTTGCCTATCTGAAGAAAATGTATGTTCTACATAGATAGATAGATAGATAGATAGATAAGTAGATATCGTCGAGTTTTACGAACGTTACGCGATACAAAGTTTATCGACCTCCTGATTGAAAGTCTCACAGTTCTGTGTTGAGGTTAAAATTTACTCAGAATGTCTATCCGAAAGAGATACGTGTCTACACCGAGAAAAAGATTTCTTCAGATTTAATAAATTACATCACGTCCAAACAAACTTCATCATCGGCATGCTCCGAAGAAACTAACGTTCCGCTTAATAAATACGATCGTCAGACTTTTCCACGAATTATCTTAAATAAAAAGTTTGCTTGAAACGAAGGACAATTTTCTTACGGAGAAATTATTTCTTTCATTTATCGTAATCAGATAATATTTTATCGTTAAAAGATATTACTTCAAACCAATAGCGTTCTTCCCGTTAAAAAATAGAATTTTCTCGAACGAGATGATAAAATTGTCACTCAAACAAACAATACTTCGTACGTTGTTTCCGCGAAAGAAACGTTAATCAGATAAGTATAAATACCAAATCTGAAGAAACTTTACTCGCCGTCTATCCAAAGGCAATAACAATCGGACGATTGGAGGATCGCTCCAATGTATCCGCTCGGCAAGCGACTCGCGTGCGCGATCCTCGACTTCTCGACCGAATGGAAATTGCGCGGTGGTGAGATCGCGGATCGAGAGCGCGGTAATTTTCACCCGACGACGTGAGAAAGACACTTGGTCCAATTCAGCTTTCCAGGCCCTGATTAATGGCCCGCCCACGTCCGTCCGTCCGCGTCTTCATCCTACAAGTATACGGAGTAGGCTGTGTTGTACTCACGATATCGCCGTGCTCTCTCGCGAGCTCCCTTCCGAGAAAACTCCTTCTGGCTTGGCCCCGAAAACACCCCTCGATCCTTCTTCGCTCAGTTCTTCCTCCTCCTCGCCTCTTCTTCGTGGCGCTTCTGGCTTTTCTCAGTCTCCGTTCTCTCTCTCTCTCTCTTTCTCGGGAATCCTCTCCTCGAACACAGAATCTGCCGAACAACGAGCGGGGTTGACGAGGAAACGAAGAAGAGGGGTGGCTCGGACGGAGAGCTTCAGTCGCCGGAAATTCGCGATACGAACGAACGAACGACGAACGAGAGCTGATTCACTGTACACGTATTCCCGTTGTTATTTCAGGCCGGTCGGCGGCGGAGCGTCGTTACGAGTCCTCTTTTCCCTCCGGGACTCGTGCGATTTCCCGCCGACGACGATATTCCTTTCTCCTTCGGTCTTTCTTCCTTGATTGGAAATTCTCCTCGCCGGGCACGCGGGGCACTCCGTTCACCGAGACACCTGGAGGACCATCGCACACCCCCGCGAGACGTCACTGCCGAGTGTCACTGTGGTTCGAAATTACGCGCGCGGCGAAATCGATGCGCAGGTCGATCGGTCGGTTTCTCGAAAAACAAACTCAGCTGCTCGTCAAAACAGACCGCTCCGAAGACACACACTTCCGCGTGTATGTGCGCGCGGTGAGTCCTTCCTTCCTTCCGTCCAGCCACTCGCGGTGCTCGTTACGCTCTCACTCTCTCTCTCTCTCTCGAGTCGTCGCGGCGGCGGCGACGACGCTGACTCGGGACTACTCCGACTGCACTAGTCTCAGGCGGGCGGCCCGAGAGAGGAGGATATGCAGCAGCGCCGGCACACGAGGAGGAAAGCTCGGGGCGAAGTGCCAGAAGAGAGCCGTCGCTTGAAATAACCGCTCGTCCGTCCGTCCGTGCGCGCCCTCGTTCCCTCCGCAACCCCTCGTGTACAGTTTCTCACTCCCCCCCCACCCCCTCGCCGAGATCGCCGGCGAAACTCCGAAGTCGCCCCCCCACCATCGTCACGGAGTGTACCTTCGATATCCCTCTCTCGCTCGCTCTTCTTTTCTAACGCGTGCGTCCTTCCCCCCTCCCTCTTGCGCCACCTCCACATCCTCGTCCTCATCCTCCACCACCATCCGCTGCTTCCCCGCCGTTGTTACGTTGCGCGTCGCACTATGCACACGTGCGGGGACGATGCATCGGTTTTCGCGCCATTCCCCGAGACGCGCGCGCCCGAAGGCGGGGAGGCGCATTCTTCTCGCGTTTTTCGCTGCCGATCGGGAATCGCTCGTCGCTCTGATTAATCACGGGAGAGGCGAGACTTCGTTTTTCCTTTTTCATTGTGTAATTGGACGCACGAACCTGTTCCGAGAGAGCGCCTCTCGTTTCCCTGTTTATCGAAGGGCAACCTTTGATGAGTGATTTTATTGATTAAAAGAGATAACCTTTAGATGTACGAAACATGACTTGTTAAACGTAATCTTTAATAAATCATAAAACCGGTGCACAACGTCATGCATTAATGTATTCCTCAGGTATCAACTTGTCAGGTATCAACAGGTTCAAATAAATACTTATTAAGGAATATTGTAATCATTTAATTTATTGTGCAAAAAATATTACGTTCAAGTAATATTTACTTAATCCGAATAAAATAAATCACTACGATATTCTTTAGTAAATATTTACTTGAACGTAGCAATTTTTTCTTCGGTGTATGGACAGCCAATTCTTCTTTTCCGTGTATAATTAGACACGAACGATATCGGGGCTCAACTTCTCTCTCTCTCTCTCAGCGAGACAGCTTGAAACTCAAGCAGGGTCGCTAATTCGCATGAAATCCGTCACCTTCTTCCTGTTTTGTGAAACAATGCGAACCGAAAGATAAACGAGTAGGTCACATTATTTCCAGACGTAGATACTTCAAGGCCTGGAGTGGTCGTTCAATGGACGTCTCAAATTGATCTTGGAGAAAGAAGGACCCAGGAAAAACCCATGCAAAGGCGAGGGAAGAAAAATGCTAAGGTTGCAGCGACTTGTTGACATCTTTCAGTTCCAGCGTGATTCGTTGTCGCCCTTCCAGGTAATCTCGGCCGCCGCAGTCTCCCCGAGCCCTATTTTTCTTTCATCCCCCTCGTGCCACCGAATGTGTCCGGAACACATTCGGGACATGTGTCGTTCTCGTCGACCACCTTTTCGTCTCCCTCGGGACACACAACCGACACACCATGGAAAAACAGGCGGTGGAACGAACGGTGGTGGTGGAACCGCCGAGATATTACCAGCTCTCTCTCTCTCTTTCTCCTATTCCGCTCTCCCTTCCCCGCGTCTCCCTTTTTCACCCCCTGGCGATGTCTGTCTCTCCGGCTGTTATTTATAGAAAGCCCACGATGACTCGCCTAATCGTAACGGCCCGCAGACCTCACAGATACCTATTATTATCCAGTCGAATTAATGAAACTCCGCTCGTGGCGATCGCGCCAGCCGCGCTAATTTACGCTCGCCGCTCGTGCGGAGAGGACGCGCGTCGTCATCGTTGACGTCTATCGTGTCTCGCCCTCTCCTTACTTGTTTAACTCCTTACGTCGCACGCGTTCTCGCGATGAATCGCATCGCCGATACTTCGCGCCCACTGAAAGAAGAACGTGGTGTTCAAATTTCATGAATATTTACTGGAACCAAATATTTCATTACTTCAAGCAAATAATTTAGTTCTGAATATTGTACATGCAGTGCACGGAGACGCTCGTTCGTCTCCGATGGCGTCGTAACTCACCGTGCACGATGATTTATCGATCTTATTTTTATCATTTTAATGCTAAGTGGTCGCGCGCGCACACCTAAAAATTTATCCGGGACGAGCTGAAAGCCGAGGGTCTTTGTCGCGTCACGTACCGTCTAAATATAAAATCTTTATGATATCCCCCCCCCCCCGTAAAAGAACCCTTTTCGGCCCTCTCAGGTTATACAGCGAAATCGCATCCGTATGGCACGCGTCGCCATGGATTTACCTCTCTCGCGAGCGATCGAGAGTAAATCCCGTTGATCAAAACACGACTCGTTCCACCTCACGCGAGAGAAAGAGAGAGATATAAAGAGAGTGGGGGGATATATTTGAAGTCATTCGGCTATTCGGAATGTGACATATTGCAGCAATGTTACGGTAATATTTCAATGTTATACATATACTCACATAATGTATCGGTAATATTACCGTAAAGTAACTCGTGACATCGCAACATTACTGTGACATTACTGTGATATTACGTACTACGTGGGATATCGCACAATGTCTCTGTCTCTCGCAAGATCCGTATCTCAAGCCGCGCGTTTTGTTCGTCCTCCTCGCACGAGAGAGAGGATCGTTATTCACGGCGGATTATCCGGGCTAATTAGTACGTGTCGGTAGATCCTAGCGTACGATAGGACTTCTCTCCCTGTCGGCTGCTCGTTCCGCTCGCTGTCACTGATCGAAAACACCTTAAATCCAGCGTCGCTGCCGCGGGCTCTGACCGTCGCGAGGTGAACGCGCGAGGGGGAAAACGAATTAGCCGCTCGTACGTATAAATAGTCCGCTGGTAACGCGAGAGAGTCGCGCGCGACAAGGACGACGACGACGGAGAACCGCACGCACGCGCCCCCGGAATGTACATCGCGCATCGGTTGGTTGGATGGATGGATAGTTAACCATCACCGGCGAAGTAACGACACGCGTTGACTGCGCGACCGCAATTCACATCGCCGCGGACTAATATCGGATAACGCGGAGAATAATGTTCTTTTTTATGAGGAACGTGTATTTTTAGTCGCGTGGGAGGGACGAACTCGCCGAGATTCCGGGGGGAAGGGAAGATTCGGTGCCCCGAGAAGTATTTTTGATTTACCGAACACGTATATAGCATAGAGGCTCGCAATAAACGTTGCCGCAATACCGTAACACCGTATATTGCAGTGCAATGTTGCGAAGACACTGCAAAGATATTATTTTGCAATATTACTTCGATAATATTGTGGCGATATTTCGAAACATAATGTTCCTGCAATGTTGCAATCTTGCAGAAAAATATTGCCGCAATGTATCTGCTATCTTGTGCTGTGTGGGAAGAAGAAAGGCCCGTTTTGCCTTCTCTCTCCCTCTCTCTCTCTCTCTCTCTCTCTCTCTCTCACGCACATTTTTTCTCGGCTTCCTTCGAACGGGCGCGATACGAGACGACGAAACGCGAGTTATGAGGCACGAAGAAGGTGCGAAGTCGCGCCGAGAGTGCGGGGAAAACGAACGCGGTTGACGGAATTATTATTCTCGCTGCTCGACTTCTCTCTCGTCTCGTTTCGTGATGTTTCTCTTTTTTTTTCCACGAGCCGCAGCTTCCCCCGATCTCCCGGCAAGGTAGCTCGTGGCGGTTCCACGTATATGAGAACACTGTCGGAAGTCTCTGTTTTTTCAGAACTCGGTGAGGAAAACCGACGAATATACGGACTTGCACAGGCAGGACAGGATTTATAATATTTATCTAATATTACAATGATATATGTATACGGAGGGGGTGTTTCAGAAATAAGTGGCCAAATTTCAAGAGCATGTCTACTCACCGTAAGGATGGGAAAAGGTTGTATGAATGTGAGTTCGGAACTTCTTTTTCAAATTATCAACACTTGTAGCTGTGAACAATGAATTTTTATTCTACCGTTTAGATTTCAATGATCGTTTTCAAAACGCAGTACTTGCTCTTATTAATGTTTTACTGATAATCTTTGTGCCCATCACGACGTATATTGATTTAATTTTCAAACCCTCCGGACCCTGAAGGGAACGAGGGAAAATCTTTCATCGCGACTCTCTTCGTGAGAGAGTCGGTCCTCCCGGTTGTCATCGAGCGAGAACCATGAATTGTCTCGCGGCTCTTCGCGAGAATATTAGCTCCCTGTCTTACTCGACGAGACTTCCGCTAATTTTTATCTCTTTTTAACCCTCAAATCCGGATCTACAATAGGTATAGCAAGCCTTCAACCTTTTGCTTTGAGCAATAAAGTGTAACGTAATTTATGACAGGAAACGTTTCTCACGCTACTGAAAGTCATAATAACACTTAAATTTTATGAATTGAGACATCTGATAGCGCTGAAAATGCTTTTTGCGATAGAAACTACGTTACAATTTTGCGTTTAGAGCAAAAGGTTAAAGGCTTCCCACGTAGCACGTAATATTGCAGCGATATCGTAGAGACATTGAAATGAAGTAATATAATGTATATTTAAATATTACTTAACAAAAAATAGAATGGAAAATAGAATATCTCGATATCCTGACGCGATATGAAAATTCCGCGGTCGGATTTGATTTCAGCGCATCGAAAAACATAGGAGACGACTCTTTGTTAAAAAAAAAAAATTCAAGACCTTTCAATATGCAGACTTGTGTTTTTGAGTTTCCAGAAAAATACAAAACTCCATTATTTACTTCGCATCTTCCTTCGGGAAGGTATGATTTAATAATAAGAACGTAAGGAGAACGCAACGCAAGTCAATCAACAGCTTTGCTTGGACGGCCGGTCAACGAGGAAATCGTCGCGTAAATTTAGAACATTGTTTTCCGGCCGAGTAAATTCCACCGTGAATAATCACTTCCTAAATCCGGCCGTGCTAAAATCTCGACGAATTTCCCTGTACCACAGCAAGCGTGTGCAAATTTGGCTAAAGCTGTGAAAGCTCGACTCCGTACATATATGTATATATATATATTTTTTCTATATTATTATTATTTTTTTTTTTAATATTCTAAGAACATTCCTATAATATTAAAAAAAATATTAGAAATATCCTCAGAATGTTATTTTAATATTGAATATAATATTCATATAATATTCTAGGACTATTACGCGCTTATA